GAGGAACTTAGAATCCACCTACGTGGGGAAGGCCCTCACCTCACCAGTGCTTTGAGGAATGTATCTGGCCAGGAAGTGAGGAACATGAAACAGGTCCTTTTCCTTTTTTGTTTCTTGTGTGAGGTCCTTGTAGCGCCCTGCCAGCCAGGCAGGGCGGATTCCATGCGAGGCAGCTAACTGCCTCGCTTCATTTAGTTCCAGACAAACAGTGTAGCATCCTGTATAGGACCGCAATCACAGCATAAGGGATATTGTTCTTTTTTTTTTTTTTTTTATCTGCTGTTGGTGGATAGACGAGGGCCCTGACTGAACTGCGCAGCCCGAAATTTCAACTGCAATTGAAACTCGGGCCCTGACTAAACTGCTGAAACGCAGTTTCAAATGCAATTACAAACTGCTTTCGTGACTGCGCCATAGTAACCCCAAAAAACAAACCAGTGTGACTACCTGTAGTTCCTGTGAGGGACAAATGTCAGGGCCTCTAATCTGTCCTTTCTGGACACACAACGCGTGTGTGACTGCACGGGCACCCAAAGGGCCTCGCCTCGAAAACACTATTTTCTATAGTTTCTCTTGGCCACACAGGATGTTGAAATTGGAGATGGGAAGAAAATTTGCAAGCTGTTAGAGAATGCTTCTGGACACCTTCTTTCGAAAGTTGTTGAATCTAGTTGTTGAATCCCCAGCCTGCTACTCCGATGCTTTCAACAGTCCTCGGCTGCATCTTCGAAATTTGGTCAGTGGGTGTGAGGCAGGGATGGACTAATGCTTGCCGTATCGACTTCTCCTTGAAATTTGGTGAGTCGGCATGAGGTCGGAATGGACTAATGCTTGGTGTACCCTCAGGGGTGTTCGTCTTTTTCCATCTTGCATTCACAAGTGTGTCCATTCTACAAGGGGGGCGAACTGCAGAAGGGAGGCTGTCCAATTTCAGGCTGTCAACTTTATTCTGACAGCCGTCAAAATTTTCAGTCTTCAACAGTGGTGTGGCGAGCCCCAAAGGTACAAATACATGGTACCAAAACGCCTCAGATATCTGACTATCGGTCCACGTGTGAGTATGCCCTCTGTTCCCCGTGTAGATGACATCTGGCGCTCCGCTCCGTGGAAACGGCGCTCACCTGCTGATTGTACAAACGCTACTGAAACAACAAAGTCCCCAAGGGGTATAAAATTAGACACCAATAAGCAATAAATACCTGAGGTTGGTTTCCCAGTCAGTTCGTTCTGTAGTCTCAGTGGCCTTAGTACCCATGGTGGACGCATCTGGCATTGTTTTGCACAGTGCATGGACGCATCACAAGCACTGTTTCACTTGAAAACAGCTTGCCTGCTACGGTTGGGAACTGGAGGAGGAGAACGAGGACCATCGGTGAATCGAAGCCGAGCATCACATAGCAAACAAGGAAAAGGAGGGCGAGGTGGGCCAAAGGAGAGGAAAGAGCACGAAGAAGGCCACTACCACAGTGATGGCGGCGTCCGCGAAAACGATGGCAGCCTTCATCTTGGCGGCTATCATCGTGCTTCTGGGTGTTACGGCAAGAGCGGAGCCTCCGCCGGAGTCCGCCATCGACTCGTTCACCTACATGGGCTCCGGATGTCCAGCCAATTCCGCCGTGGGGGAGATCAGCAAGGACGGGCAAGTACTTACCATGAAGTTCAGCGAGTTCAGCGCAACGACCGACGGAGGCAACGCSGGSAAACGGAAGAACTGCCAGATCAGCCTCAAGATGAGGTATCCTGATGGCTGGACTTACTTGCTGGAGACGGTCATGCTCCGCGGGTACACGAGACTTGACGACAAGGTGAAGGCGGTTCACAGGGTGAGTTATTATTTCACGGGAGAGCAGGGGCAAGGCAAGTTCATCAAGGAGACGCTGGGCGAGTTCGACGACAACTACGAGCATTCGGGTCCGTTCTCCCCACTTATCTCGAGTAAGTGCGGCCTAAACAGAAATCTCAACGTCAATATGGAGGTGAGAGTCGACAACGGAGATAACCCAGACGGGCAAGCTAACCCAGCCGGGGAAGGATTCATCGATGTAGACATGGCAGACATCACCGTCACTTTCAGCGTCAAATGGGCCAGGTGTCCCTGAATGAAGCACGCTGACGGGATCTGTAGCAAGGAGCAGACCGGATCCCTTTCATAGCGACGATTTCTGCTCTGCTGCTCTGAGAGCATACTCACACTACCATTTTCCAGAATGCATTAGGGCCCGATGAGGATGAATCTGACTGTAATCACGTCCGGAGCTTTGTAGAAATAGTCCTAGTGTGAATATGCTCCGAGCTCCCTACTAATAACTCCGTCCAGGGCTGCTGTTTTGCCACCGCAGCAGTAGAACTAGTAGGGCTGCTAGAGATCGGATGGCAATCAACTTTGGAATGGGTGGCTGGTTATCGTTGCTTATTCGCGTAGTCGGACAAGCTCTTTCGTCGTAGCTTTTCTCTACTCACTAGCAGCTGTCTGACAGCGTCACTGCTCACACTGCCTGACAGCCCCATGGAGAGTTGCTTCTGTGAAGGAGAGCGATGATGGATGGGTGTTGAGATGCGATCCCTTTACATCATACCCTTCCTTAGTTCCAAGATAGAATCTTCTACAAGAAAGGTTGATCAGTTACAGGTGAAGTTCGCATGGCTTTAGCTTTGTGGCCTCCGCCAAGTGAGCCTCGGTGACTAAGGAGTTTCAGACTCGGCAGAGAGAGCTTTTGACCTCGATTGTTTCCATAGCAAGGGAACTCCCTCCCTTGATAACCGTACTCTGAATTTTCAGACTCTAAAACGATGGAGGTCTCCTTTCTATCCGTTCCATGCTGCTGAGTTCTCATCTCTCTCTCTCTCTCTCTCCTTCTCTCTCTCTCTCTCTCTCTCTCTCTCTCTCTCTCTCTCTCTCTCTCTCTCTCTCTCTCTCT